GCAGGGGGGTTGTATATCGATTGTAATCTAGGGGATTACTATCGATATATAGCACCTTTTAAATTTTGCTGATGAAGCTGCAATTTTGAATGCTGAATTGTTTACTTGAATGCCTTTAATATTCTGGTCAATTGCTTGAATCAATAGATTGATGGCCAATACATATAGGAGTAAAAAAAGGGGGTCTCCTTGTTTAACCTCTCTTTCTACTCTAAAAGCCTCTAAGATAGTACTTGTATCTACTATATAAGCTTTTTGAGTAGCCAATAAAGAGCTAATAATATTGGTAAACTTGTAGCTAAAGTTCATTCTCTTTAGAACGAGCTTTAGGAACTTATAATTTACTCTGTCAAAAGCTTTTTGTTGGTTTAGTTGAAGGAGCCAATGTTGTGCTGATTGGTCTTCTTGGTTTCTTAAAGTAGTAATAATATCTAAAACAGTATTAATGATCAATCTTTTTGTGATAAATGCTTGTTATGCAGAACTAATAATCTTATTACAAATAGAGTTAATTCTATTTGCTAAGATTTTCATAAGAATTTTTGTATCTGAATTTACTAGAGATATAGATAGGTCTTCAGTTATTCAGATTAGATATATTATCAGCTTTTTTAGGAATAAGTGTGATGAAGCTTTTGCTCATGAGCTTGAAATTGTTCTAGTGGTTATTATATTATTAGCAAGAATTGGAAGAGTAAATTCCTGGGTATTCTTGTAAAATTCATAAATTAAACTATCTAAGCCAGAGGCCTTATTGTTAAGTAGCTTGTTAATGACAAGACTAATCTCTTCTTTAGTGGTAGGTTTGGCTAGCTGAAGGTTTTGTTTAGAAAAGACCTTTTTTAGATTGGCTGTGATCTGAAGTGCTGCTTCTTTGTCGATATTTTTGCTCTTATACAAAGCTTAGTAAGAGTCTTTAATATAGCTTATTGTTTGTTCTTGTGTAAGCTCATTAACAGTATTAGGGTCTCTAATTTTGCTGCTGTAGCCAGATGTGTTTTTGAACTTATAAAGAGTAAAAAAATATTTAGTTGACTTTTCTTCCACTTTTATTCATTTAGCTTTTGAGCACAGATACTATTTACAGTCAAACCTCTATAATTGCACTCTCTATAATTGTACACCTTCTTTAAATGAACACATAACTCTGGTCCCAAGCTTGGACAATAATAATAAATACACACCCTCTATATTCTATGTATGCATAAATTTTTAAAAAATTTTATATATAAAAAATTCTCTATAAATGCACACTCTCTCTAATTGAACTGTCTAATAAAGTTTTAGTTTGGGACTATAATTCTAAATGCATGCTTAGCATTAGATTTTATTGTTTGTTTAAAATAAAGTAATATCATATATTATTTAAATTAACGTTACATATTATATCATTATGACATATATATCAAATTATATAAAATGATTATCAAAATCAATAAAAAATTTTAACTAACATGTCTCAAAAATATGAATCTTTAACAAATATTCAAAAATATAAATTTTGTCAATATGCTCATGATAATAGTAACAAAACTAGATCTGAATATACAAAGTAGATTGAACAAAAATGAAAAATTAAAGTTAGTTTATTTACTATTACACGAATTCTTCAAACTAAAGATAAACGTCTTACAACAAAAATAGCAAATCTGGATACAAAACAACACAAACCTGTTACTTTTCCAAAATTAGAACTTGCTTTAAAAGAATTTGTGCTAGTTTATCAAGATCAAACAATTTTAACTAACACCTTAATTATTGAAAAGGCTAAATTATTGGCAAATAGATTTAATATTTCTGAAGATCAACTAAAATTTTCTAATGGATGGTTACAAAAATTTAAAAACTATAATCAAGCTAAAGAAACAACAAAGGCAACAACGGAAGAACTACCAAGAAACCAAGAAACACATACTGAAAATGTAAACACAACAAATCATGAGTTGGATGCAAACACAACAAATCACGAGTCAGATGCAAATACAACAAATCACATGTTAGAGGAAAACAATAAACAAAACAATCTGCATGTGCCTAACAAGGACCAATTAGAAGATCCAACTCACAGGGACACAGACACCTCTG